ACGAGCGAGTGCAAGGCGCTAGCGCGAGCGAGTGCGGGGCGCTAGCGTGAACGAGCGCAAGGTGCTAGCGCGAGGGAGCTAGCGTGAGCGAGTGCGGGGCGCTAGCGCGAGCGAGTGAGCGCGAGGGAGCTAGCGTGAGCGAGTGCGTGGCGCTAGCGTAAGCTAGGTGCTAGCGCGAAGGAGCGCGAGGTGGTAGCGCGAGCGAGCTAGCGCGAGATGGTAGCGCGAGCGAGCGCGAGGGAGTGCGGGGCGGTAGCGCGAGGGTACTTGGTCATTTCAGGAGCACGCCAGATAAGTACTGGCCAGGTGTGCTTATTTTCAGAGGTAGCGCCACTTGGACAGCTAGTGTGGCACGATTATCAACACCATGCGATTCATTTTGTTGCTAATCTCTTTAACAATATTTTGAATAAAACTTGATTCTTTCCTACAAATTGAAAGGACAATGGATAAGTACACTTAAAACAACTTCCGTTAAATTAAACAACAAATGATGATTATATATATATATAACAAATTACATGGGGTTCAATTTTGGCCATTACGATTCATATACAATAATATAGACTGTTGAATATTATGACAATCTCGAATCGACAGAATTACATAGATTATACAATGTTAAAGATATCTGACAGAAAGAAAATAAGAAAATACAAGAACATTCACAAAATTCAGATTCTAAGTCAAATAAGCAAGTTTATGAAAAGAGCCATGTTGTTCAGAATTTCAATGATATTTCCGGTCTTTAGGCCTCATCTACTTATTTCCAAAAATTTTGGAATCTTTATTCTTTCAGATTGCTTTTATATAATTTTAAACACCTTAAAGTTTAAGATACTGAAGCACTTTTAACTCATATCCAGCTTTTCTTCTTTTTATTTTGATTCCAGATATGTTTATAATTTGTTTTATACATATTATGACCTTCATAATCCTTGAGTTGAAAATAAAAAAGATTGAACATGTTGTTCGTTTTACCCTTTCATGTTCGATCCATCTTTTCTTTTTCCTCCTTTTTCTTTCCTTCTAAATAGAAATCTTCTAATGATCAAATCTCTATATCAATGGTGAAGTACATTCAATAAAGTCAAATTCTTAATAATGTAAGAAATCTCATATAATAAGTTTCTAGACTCAACATACAGTATTTGGACACCACTATACCATAAACTCTGAAATAAGACAGTAATAAAACATCACATTATATATCAAGTCTTCTGCATCTACTTTAACTATTCTATCAATTTTTGGATGGTGTCAAACTTTCTAATTTATAGGTACTTTGACTAAAAGTATATATATTGTGTGTGAATTAAAAAAATAATAATAATAAATAATATATAGATTATATTTATAGTGTTTCAATATAAATTCGACTAGTTTAAAACATTCGCATTAAGAAATCATGTGGATAATGGGTACTATTAGCATCTAATGGCATAAATAATTTGGAAGTATTCAATCAATACTATTAACTCTTCAAGGAAATTACCCATCTATTAAAACCATCCCTGCCAAATCTGCTACTTCTCTAAGAGCTGCCTTCCATCTCTTTATCTTGTCCAACCACTCCTTTTATTTCTACTTTCTCTGCCTTAACTCGCTGTTCGTGTGTAGTAAATGCATTTGCAAAACTCCCTGTCTGCTCTCTTACATTTGATGGATCCACGTGATAGAAGACGGGCAGAATCATATGACCAACAGTCTTCTTGTGCTCAAGGATATTCAGAAGCTCATCATCTTGAAGATGCACAGTCTTTTGAGAAGATAATTATTGAAATCATCGACTCTTGGATTGCCTTATTTAGTTCTAAATCGATATTCTGACCTCTCTCTAGTCCTTCATCATCCCTACACGTGCGTATTCTTGCACATTGTAGCGCTGTGTAAACGTGATCAGTGAAGATATTCTGGGTGTCTTCACCTCTAAAACTTAAGAACACGTGATAAGAACATGCAGTTGGTGAGGCTTCTATGGCTCCTATAGCAGCCATTGGACAACACTGTAAGAGATCAATGAACAACAGATAAATATGCAATCTGCAGTTTTTGTGTAAGATGTCAATAAATAAATAAAAAAGTAAAGTAAATTAAATCCCATATACAATCCAAAGTACATAAGGAAAATGCTTAAGGAGAGAAATTAAACCTGAGTCAAGGGTTAAATGGAAACACACGTAACCAAATATCAAGACACAAAATGCTTCAAAGTGGCTTCACAAAGGTTTTAGCACAACTCAACTCAACAAAATTTCATCTCAATTATAACTTCAAAGTGGCTTTCACAAAATGCTTCAAAGTGGCTACACAAGAATCTTATTTTACCATTTGGCTCTTTCTAAGGTTAGTTAGTTTTGTCTTCTTTTCAATATCATTGCCATCGACGGCGATACTTGATCTGACAGAAAGATAAAAAAACCAAACCCAGTGGCTTGTTTCACATACAACAACAAAATAAAATTGATTAATGATCCATGTAATAAACTTGAAATATTAGGCAACATGAGTGTTCAATTGTAAAATGTTACCTGTAATTAGCAAAATCCCCCAAGAAATGGATTGATCGCTCCACTGAAAGATTGAATTTGTTATGCTCACTGAATCAAGAGAGAGGAAAGAGCAAAAAAGAAGAGTGAGAAAGAAGGGAAAGTGTGGAATGATAAAAGGGAAGGAAATACCCATTCGTGGGATCCACATGACTCAAATGGTTCTTGTTTTTATGCCCATAAACATCTCAACTATTTTTTTTGTATTATATATTACTTATATTACAAGACTTTTATCATAAGACACAACCTGTTTCTAAAACCCCAAACACTGTTAAGGTTATCAGTGAAATGATAAATTTAATTTTATTATTTAATATTAAATTAAAAATTAAAAATTATTATTTTTTAAATTATAAAAATCCCCTCTCACTTTTTTAGTACTGTGTTTGCAATAACCATTGACACCCACCTCTGTATTAGAACTCGACGGATGTTCAAACAACAATTGCCTACATGTTGGACATGATGAGTGTGACACTAACCATGTGTTTATGCACTTTACATGAAAACTGTGATTGCATTTGGGCAGGACTCTGACCTTCTCTCCTTCACCAAATTCTCCAAGGCAAATTATACACCGCCACCGGAATCTAACCCACCGCATCCTTCTTCAGCCCCGCCGAGGCTAAACGCCCACCAACATGATCTGGAGTCTCAAACCCAAACCTTGGGCTACACCGTAGAGCACAACGCACAATTGAGTTCAATTCGGTCACTTTTCCTGGTAGTTGTGTGTCACTTTGGTGGAAATCTTGAGTCGCAAACAGCGACCTAAGGCTTGAGAGAAGGACGGGGATGGTCCCTGTCCATGGAGAATCCAGATCGCTGTCGTTGCTGCCGGAGACCCGTTTTGGGTCAATTCATGGTTCAAGTGGTTGATTCATGGTTCAAGGTGGTCAATTCATGGTTCCAGGTCGCTTCCTTGTGCAACAATACATTTTCTATTCAGTTGGGTGACTCCACGCCGGCGGCGAGGTTGGCGGCAAGGAAGAAGAACATAAAATAAAAAAAGTTATTTTTGTAATTTAAAAAATAATACTTTTTAATTTTAATTTAATATTAAATAATAAGATTAAATTGGTTATTTTACTATTCGATTAAATTCAGATATTCAAACAATGTATAATAACGATTTTTAAAAATAGATTAAGATTTTATAATTAAAAATTAAAAATAACGAAATTTTATGATTTAAGCACTATATTATATTCAGAGTCACACCTTCAGAGTCGCCCAATCAGAAGTCATGGTGCCAACTGGCCCATTATCACTATTTGAGTAATGGTCATCAAAATGGGCCTAATCAAATTCAAGAGAAAGTGGGTTGACAGAAAATTTCAAGTCTTTGGACGTACTTTACCAAAAGGATAGAGCTGTGTTGGCCATTATACAATAAAATAGAAGATTGAAACCATATCATCTGAGTTTTGTATTAAATTTTCATTATCAGTTGGATGAGTTCGTTTTTCTAATCATAATGGAGTAATTTTTTTATTTTATTTTTTTTGTTTGGAACTCATTGACCAAAACTAGTTAGTGGGCCATATTAATTTTTTACTGAAAATCTTCACTTAAGGCTGTGAAATTGTCTTTTCTTGTCTTATAAAAGGCTTGTTAATTATTTCGAATTTTTTTCATGACCTAAATCATGTCGGATTGTTTTAAATTTTTTACTCATTGGGTTTCTTATTCTATATTTTGAGATTTTTTAGAAAGAATTTATTTTTGGACTTATTTTTTCTTAGAGGATTGTTTTAGTTTCTTTACAATATTAGGGTTTTCTTTATTATAAATATGCATATATTTTAAGAGCAAAATTTAACTTTTCATTAATAATATTTCAGATTGACTTGCAATTTTTCTTCAATTTTGTGAATTCAAAGTTGTCATGTTCTTTTGTGAACATTTCATAGCTTTCGCTACTTCATTTTTTTTTTTTCTCTCTTTTTTTTTTCTCTGTCTTTTTTCCCTTTTATTTTTTGTAATTTGGAACAGTGAGTGTTATCTGTTTATTTAAGATAAATCACAAAATTAAGTATTTTCTAGGACTTGCAGCCCATTGGTATCTAACACTCCCTTGTTTTGAAAAATCAACTAAAGATATAATTTTCATGGCAATAAGTTGCTTCTTCATTTTGCACAGAATTCACCCTGGATTGTGAGTTTCTTTCCCTCTTCATCATCTCTTTGTTCTTACTTTCATGTACTTATCAATTTCTTTTTTGAATTATTATTTTTTAAAGCAGGCTCGCTTTATGCTCTGTTAGGTAGGAAAAAAAAAATTTTGAATGGAAGAGAAAGTATAAGAGATGGATAAGACAATCTTAAAAAAGAGATTGTGTTGTTTTCTGAACTTGACTTGACTTTGTTTTTTCATTCGAGTTATGGAGTTTTAAGAAATAAAAATAAATAAAAGGGTAAAGTTAAAAATATTTATGGCTGGGGAGGTTTCCTTTTCTAAAATTTCTTTTTCTCTCATTTTTCTTTTTTTTTCACATTTTTTTTCTTTCCAAAACTAATGATTAATGCCACTTTTGTGGCCGATTGGCATTCAATTTTATTATTATTATTTTTTTATCTATCTAAATCTATATTTATATTCATTTATTTTATCTTAATAACGCATTTTTCTTTAACTCTTAAACCCGATTCTATTTATTCTTTCTCACACCCCTAACAAAATAAAGAATTGTGATAGGAGGTTAAACGAGGTTATGTGCCCCAAGTTGAATTTCCATGACAGAAAAATGTTATAATTGTTACTTTTGTCCCTGTTTACAGTGAATGTAAGTATAATTATCCAAATTTAATTTGCACCTATTACACTACTTATTGTCTTCTCTTGCACCCTTTTTTATTTTTTTTTATTTTTTATTTTTTTTTGTATTAACGCATTTCCATTATTTTCTCGCTCCGTTAACAGAAAAATGAAAGGTTGTCCTGATTTAGCGATATTAAATAGTTTGGGATATTTTTCAACTTCAGGTAATTTCTTCATAATTTTATATAAAAATTTGTTGATTTTTAAATTAGTTTACTTTTTCCGTTTTATAAAGAAACAGCCAGCGGAGATTATACATTTTCACAAAATGTAGAAGCACGTTAAAAGTTGGTTATTGAATTATATATATATATATATATAAATTAGTAGGTTATTGAATTTAAAAGCACTACTACTACTACCAATGTTACGAGTCTTTTTAACAATCCCGTTTATTTTTGCTTTATCAGTTATCTAATTCATTTTTAATTCGGTAAATTTAATTTATCTAAAAAATTAAATAAAATTACAAGTTACACTTATTCATCCATCTCTAATTGTTTTTAAACTAAAGTACACAACTTATTTTGCACCACCCTACTCACAACTCACTATGTGAACAATGTAGAAAAATGTACATATAAAAGTAATAGCATCACTGCCCTACTCACATTCTTTAACATACATATAAAAATAATAGTGTCACATAGAGAGAGGGAATAAAGATTTCTCAAGAGTGTTACCCACATTTCTAAAAAAAAGTTTGAAAAATTTTCACTTTATAAAACAACTGTAACTGTTTTACGTACTTGATATGAAATTATGCAAAAATAAAATGATTAAATCAAATATAGTTTAATAGTAGTAGTATTACGGCGCCCATTTGAATCCTATAGCAGATGCTGATACAAAAAATTTTCCTGGAACTCAATTAGTTTTTCAAAATTATATTACAAAAACTGAACAATTATCATTTGGATCCTATTTTCACTAAAACAGTGATTGCAGCACAAAGATAGTGCTCTTAGACAATTTATTGACCTTTATTAGAAAGGAATGAGTTGTTGAAGAAATTTTAGGTCATCAAAACATTTTTGATTGGTCAAAATCTATCCAAATGAAGTTTAGAGTCACAAATCGAGGTAAGCTTCTCCTCTTACATAGAACAAACCATAATGGCAGATGAAGTAGGCGCGTGTCCTCGCCTGATACACTGACAAATCAACATTTTGACAAGAAGGGTAGGTACCCTTCTCTTCTTCCTCAAACACAACATGGATCCCAAACTCCTTTAGCTTAGAAAACCGAAAGCTTCCACTAATTGATTCAAAAAACTCCAATGGCTCACCGAAAAACACCGAAACATTCAATTCATCACCAGCTTCCACTAATTGATTCACAAAACTCCAATGGCTTAACCATACCATCTCGTTCCCATCATCTGGAACGCCCATGAATGATGGGCAATATAAACACTTCAGATCCCTTGTCCTATTACTCACTTCAATCATGCAGAACTTAGTCGAACCAGAATCCATCCAACTACCAGTTTGTGCATAAACAACACATACATTCAAGCCTTGGATCTTGAAATTAGGATTTGAAGGCACCTTAAAACATATTGAAGATTCCTTGCTCTTAATGCTGAACCAGCCTGGAACTTCATTACCAGGGAGAAAAGTGCTAAATATACCCGATTCATGCAGTCCCTACACCATGTAAACCACAAATTTTAACTCTTACAAATATGAGTGTGTGTGTGTAAGAGAGAGAGAGAGAGAGAGAAAACTCACCTGTAGAGGAACTTTTCTTTTAGTTTCCGTCATAAAGTTGAACAAAGAAACTTCAATATTTCTCAGGAATTCCAAGTTGGTCAAACCCAAATTGCTGATCATCACTTCATCAAAGTTTCCAATGGGTTCCAACTTGAACAACCCCTGAACCTCACTTACTTTGTCACAACAATCTGGAAACAAGAACAGTGAATTCAACAGGTTTGGTAGATTTGTTATCATTTCCAATGACCTGCACCCAGATAACTTCAACACCCTTAAACTCATTGGAAGCTCTGGAAGTAACTGGAGTTTTGGGCAGTTGTTTAGATCAAGAAAGTGGAGCATAGTGAGACCCTTGATGCTCTCTGGTATGCTACAGATTAGATTTCTACTTAGATCCAAGTTCTTCAACAGGGATAGGCAGCCAAGATCCTTTGGAATAGCATCATCTGATAGGTTGCAGCCAGCAAGACTCAAGACTGATAATGAGCGTGGTAAAGAACACAATGAAAAGCTGATCGATTCTGGTCTTCTTCTTGGTCCAAATAGACATTCCCGGAAATGTGACGGCCATGATCTTAACCCAGTAGTCATGGAGGATGATTGATTTATGCCAACTCCGTCTGCAAGGAGCATTTTCAAACACTCCATCTTGCCCAGCTCTTCTGGCAACTTCTTGAGCTTTAAACAACGAGATAGAATGAGTACTTCAAGACATTTCAGCCCGCCAATTTTCGATGGAAGCTTCCGAAGATTTTTGCAACCTTTTAGATTCAACAGAACTAGTCTCCCTAAATCCCCAATTGATCCATCAATCTCAATCAAATTTATGCAATTTTTAAGAATCAACCTTTCAAGATTGGGGGCTTGTGAGAAGTCAGGCGTATTGGTAAGACCATGGGAATGACTGAGATTGAGGATTTTCAACGATCTGAGCAACTGTTTAGTAAGGTAGAAAATATTAGTATAACACACTTGACAACCCAAGCATTTTATCAATGCACCACGCAACAGCCCATTTGAATATTTATATTAATCACCAATGAAAATAAAAGGACGAAAAAAGTTAGTATGAGACCTTGTTTCCATTCCAAACATGTTTCAAGCAACTATTGCGCATGTCAAGGGCAACAAGACTCTCCAAAGGAAAGCCACTGGGTATAGATTCTAAACGGAACCCACGCCAACACAACCATCTTAACTTCCTAGGGAATTCTTCGTAGTCTCCTGTGAGCCTTGTATTATTCAGCTGGAGTAGTCTTAATCTGTGCATCCTTGAAAATGCATCAGTTTGTAAATCTACTTCATCTGATGTGGAATGCGATCTTGTTGAGGCAGAATTTATGGGAAGCCAAGAGAAGAACCCTAGACGACGCCGCTTCAATGAATTGTTCTCCAATAATAATGCTGATTTGTCAAGAAAGTCTTCTGAATAGTGTCTTTTTGCATTATCTAAACCAAAGAATTCCTCGGTGGACCTATCTTCTTTAGATGCATTGAAGTTGAGGATGAGGCCCTCAATGGAATCTGTTCCCTGATAAGAGGACATGAAAAGTAAGCATACCAACTAAAAAGAATACAAATAGACATCATGAGAAACATATTTCTTACAGTTTTTTCATTTAATACACTAAAGGCATCCTTGTGATGCCACAATCTGCTGCGTTTCCCAAGTTCCTTGGGTGATTCTTGGCGGATGATTTCTCTCCCCATGTCCCGAAGCAATTGATGCATTGTCAGCTTGTTATTGTCATCAATAGTTATGAGACATCTATCGACGAGATTTTGAATCCCAACTTTTGTATAGAAACCACACCCATCTAGAATTGTAATTGTGAATTCTTTATCCTTTCTAACAAAGAAACAAGCAATATCAAGGAATAAATTTCTGTCATGGTCATCTTGTAAAGAATCAAAGCTTATTTTTATTTTCTTTAGGATCTGACTGTCAGGAATAGCTTCCAATTTCTTTAATGTGCTTTCCCACACATCTACAGGTCTGCCAGATAGGGAAGAACCTAGCACTTGAAGAGCTAAAGGAAGCCCTCCGCAGTACTGTATGACCATTTTTGACATCTCCATGTAAACTTCAATGGGATGGTCTTGTCCAAAGGCATGCCAACAGAAGAGCTGAAATGATTCACCATCATTTAATTCCTTAACTTTGTGCATCTTATAGAGTTCACGTTCCTTCAGCAATTGCTGATGTCTAGTTGTTATGATAATTTTGCTTCCTGGATAAAACCAATCTCGCATGGCGAGTACTGCATTTAATTGGTCTGATTGATCCACATCATCAAGAACAACTAAAACTCTTTTACAGCAAATAGCATGTCTAATCTTAATGATTCCTTCGTCAACACTGCTAATTTTTTCTTTTCTCCCCTTTTGAATATCTGAAAGAAATTGTTTTTGTAAACTAACCAAACCATTGGATTGTTCTGATATTTCTCTAATATTTGCGAGGAAGCTGCTACCTTCAAATCTGTCAAAGTTTAAGTTGTAGACAGTTTTGGCGATTGTTGTCTTCCCAATTCCACCAATTCCACATATTGTCACTATGCCAACATCCGTCGATCCATCTTGAATCCACGAATTAATGTCTTCTACACGAGAATCTATTCCAACTGGGTATGGACAAACACTCAAAACCGTGCGATTCAATTTGTTCCCAATCTCTTTCACAATTTTTTGAATAAAACTTGCCTCCTGCCTACAAAATGCAATGAAAATGGATAAAGCATATTGAAAACATCATTTGTTAAAATGAAACAACAAATGATGATAAAAAAAATAAAATAATACAAATTAAGTGGTGTTCAATTTTGGCCATTACTACTCGTATACAAACATAGACTGCCTAGTATTATGAAAATCTCAAATTGACATAATTTCATAGGTTATGCTAAAGATATATGAAAAAAAAAGAGAGCATGTTCACAAAATTCAAGCTCCAAGTCAGATAAGAGAGTTCATGAAAAGGGATTCATGTTGTCCACAATCCTATTTCCATTCTTTTGGCTTCATCTACTTATTTCCAGAATTTTTGTGACTGCTGAATTTATTCTCAAAGTTACTTTCTTTGTATCTTAATTCCAGATATGTTTATAATTTGTATTATACTTGTAACCTTCGCACACCTCGAGTTGTCATTCATTTAGTCATTTTAGCCCTTTCATGCTCTGTCCATCTTTTCTTTTTCCTATTTCAAACCGTTTGAAGAGAAATCTTCATATTTCTTATCATCAAATCTCTATCAGTGTTCCAGAACATCGATAAATTCAGATTCTTAGTAAAATCTAAGCAGTCTCATAAATAAGTTTATAGACTCAACATCCAATATTTGGAAACCAGTCAAACCACTATACCAGAAATCGTAAATAGGACAGTAATATAACATCCCATTTATATATCAGTTTTGGATGGTGCCAAACTTTCATATTTATCGATAATTTGGCTAAAAGTATATATATAAATTCATAAAACATTTTGATAAATGGTATATAGATGGTACTAATAATGTTTCAATACATTTCAAATAGTTTAAGCCTTTACCATTAAGAAATAATGCTTATAGTGAGTAAAATTAGCATCTATTGGCATGAATAAATTGAAAGTATTCAATCAACACTACTAACACTTAAAAGGAAATTACCCATCTATTATAACCATCCCTGCCAGATCTGCAACTTCTCTCAGAGCTGCCTTCCACCTATTTATCTTGTCCAACCCCGCCTCTTTTTTTTCTTCTGTCTCTACCTTAAATTGTTCTTCGTATATAGCAAATGCGTGTGCAAAACTTCCTGTCTGCTTTCTTACATGGGATGGATCCACATGATAGAAGACGGGCAGAATCATATGACCAACAGTCTTCTTGCGCTCAAGGATATTCAAAAGCTCATCAAGACACCATCTTGACGATGCATAGTCTTTTGAGAAAACAATTATTGAAATTCTCGACTCTTGGATTGCCTTCTTTAGTTCTAAGTTGATATTCCGTCCTCTCTCTATTCCCTCATCATCTCTAAATGTGCGTATTCCTGCATGGAGTAGAGCCGCATAAAGGTGATCAGTAAAGGTATTCCGAGTATCTTCGCCTCTAAAACTCAAGAACACGTGATAAGAACATCGAGTTGAGGACGCTTCTCGGGCTCCCATAGCGGCCACTGAACAAGGCTCTAAGAGATCAATGAACAAGGGATATATGCAATCTGTACAGACAACCAGTATTTGGGTAAGGTCAAAAAAATTAAATCAACAATATTACGTAATCAAATAGGCAAAGTCAATTAAATCCTATATATGAACCGAAGTACACGAGGAAAATGCTAAAAAGGGAGATGCTCTAATGAATTATACATGAGGCAAGGGTTAAATAGAAACACAAATTTAGCTAAAGAATTTCCTTTCAACTTTATATATAAGCACTCTTCGACTTAAACAACATCATTTTCAATCTTTCCTCCAATTAAAGAATTGAGCCTAGGTAACAAAAATTCTTTTGGCATTTATTGACCTTCGATCTTTATTAATCCAAACTTATATATTAGTTTTAATCATACTTACTTACATTCCAAGCTTATTATAAATTTATGCATGGTTAATTCCTACTAGCTTAAACTTGTAGAACAAATTGGACGGTTGATTTGACAAAGAGAGACAGATATACCAAGACATCAATAACAAAGAAACCAAACCTAGTGCCTAGTTTTATTCAGGTTACACATCTATATGTAGTTTCAGCTTTTTTCATGAATGCAAACACTTACAGTAACAAATTAAACACAAACAGAACATACAAAATAAAAATTGATTAATGATCCATGTAATAAACTTGAAATATTGAACAAAGGGTTTTCAATTGTAAAGGTTACCTGTAATTAGCAAAACCCCCCAAGAACTGGATTGACCACTCCACTAAAAGATTGAATTTGTTCTGCTCACTATGAAGAGAGAGGAGAGAAGCGAAAAAAGGAGTGCCAGAGAGAATGCGAAGTGTCAAATGATAAAAGGGGAGGAAAGGAAAGGAAGGAAATAACCATTGGTGGGATCCACAGAGGAAGCTTCCCTGCCAAACAAACATTGATAATATGCTATTCCCGTTGGGACAGTTCTGAAAATGCAGAATCTATATGCTGCTTTGTTAATATATGCTATTCTCCATGTGACAGTAATTTTGATAGGGGTAGTAATTTGGTGGGTTTGGGCCGGTCGTGAATGGGTGGGACAATAATGGGTCATTAGTTCATTATCAACCCATTATGGTGGGTTAAAAATGGGTTGGGTGTCAAATGGGTTGAGCCGAACTCACACCCAACCCAATTACCCAAATTTTTTTATAAACAAATTGTCAAATATTTTTAATTCTTGAATACCAAAAAATAAAAAAATTGTTCTTGTAACAGTTTTATATTAATTTTCTAATCACTGGTGTTATCATTTTTTTTTTTTTTAAAGTCAAATACAACTTATTACTCTGCTAGTATAATTAATAATATATATATATATATATAGAAAAAGGAATTTTAACCGGTACAAACATGGTTTTAATTTCAATATTTTTTACCCAATAAAATAGAAATTGAGGTTTGTAGTGCAAAAAAAAGAAATATAGAAGTTGAGGTAACATTGCGATAGAGTGCGGTACCACAACCCAGGAAAAGAAAAGAGAAAAAACAGAGAGGAGAGAGAAAACAGAAAGAGAAAGGAAAGAGATAAAAATTCAGAGAGGCCAATTTTATTTTTTCTATATAAAATCATAATTAATAACAATAAATAAGTATCACACCATCTTCCTATATAATTGACTTCCAACCCAATTACAATGACAGGATCTCTGAGCAATGGCAGGATCTATAAACAATATTTGCAATAATTCTATATTTTAGAAAGTGACAAAATTTAATAATACTAAAAAAAAATTCGCCAAAAATTTTTTTTTTCCAAAAACTAAAGCAGTGCCAAATTTGTGAGAGAGATCAATTTAACAAAAACTATGTCGGCCAATGAAATTACTTTTCAAAAAAAAAAAAAACAAAAAATAAAAAGAAAGAGATGAAATTAATTTCTCTCTTTAAAATTTTTGAGAGAGCAAACAAAAGAGTTAAAAAAACCTTTCTCAAAAAAAAAAAAAAAAAAAAAAAAGGGGGAGAAGAGAGAAAACAGAGAGAAAAAAAGGGGGAAGAGAAGAGAAAACACAGGAAAAAAAAAATGAGAAATAGAGAGAAATGGAGGAGAGAAAATATAGTTTTGTTTGAGCGAGTTGAGATGGGTACCCAATATTTACTCATTATTTACCCATGAATATAATGAGAACCCATTTTTTATCCATTAATTACACATTCATTTAAATTGATTATCCAAAAAATTTAATTTTAGTGGACAAGTTTGGGCTGTTTAATGGGTTTGGATATAAATTGTTACCCTATATTTTGACCTTAACAAAATGACGAGTTGAAAAGAAAATGTGAACGGAGTTGTATAAAATCTAAATTTTGTATTAAAATATTCATTATCTATGCCCCGTCAAATGTTCTATGAATAACTATTTATACTACGAATTTTTTCTTTTCTTTTTTTAATTTTCTTTTTTATAATTTGGACCATGGAGAGAGTTATTTGTTTATTCACGGAAAATCACAAAACCATGTAAATTACCGTGTAATTTTATGTTAAGGTACATATATATAATATATATTTTTTTTTTGTAAGACCATGAACTTAAGAAGGGTAATGTGATGTGATATCTTCTTAGGGCTAGGATTTTTTATGCTTACTATGGGGCTGGATTTCTTTTATAAAAAATACATATATATGAACACTACTCTGCTAAATATCAACAAAAGACTGAATTTATTATGCTCAATCATGAATGATGAAGAGAGAAGCAAAAAAGGAGTAGTGAGAAAGAGAAGGGAAAATGTCAAATTATAAAAGTAGGGGAAAGGAAAGGAAAGGAAAGAACTATTGGTGGGATCCACAGGGAAAGCTTCCCAGCAACTGGGCAACCAAACATTGATAATATGCTATTCCCGGTGGGACAATTGTGAAAAGCATGATACAATTACAATCTAAGTCATACAGTTCTTCTCAACACGTATCGCTCTCACGTTCGGAGTGCTCTCACGCTCTGCACGCGCTCTCGCTCAAATTTTCAATATTTATTATATAATTTTGCCGCTCTTACGCTCCCACTTCATGTAACTTAGATTACAATATGCTTATCCGCCAACCTGTAAATAAGATAGTTCTTGACCCGAACAAAATGATACAGAGTAAAAAGGAGTGGAGAAGAAAGGAAAGAGCCATTGGTGGGATCCACAGGGAAAGCTTTCCTACAAGTGGGCAACCAAATATTGATAATATGTTATTCCCGGTGGGACAGTTCTTGACCCTAGCAAAATGAAGAATTGAAAAGAGAATGTGAACAGAGTCAATTAGGTTAAGGTATTATTATTATTATTATTATTATTATTATTTTAAGACCATGAAGTTAAGGATAATGTGATATGATATTTCGCAACAATTTTTTTATGCATACTGTGGGGGTGTGGTATTAGTCTAGACAGAACGAAAATATATGCGAAATAACATCAAAATTTTACTAGTATATAGCTCCAAAGAAATTTAAAAAAAATAACTAAAAGTTAACAAAAATAACTTATCGATTAATTTTTGACAAATTATTTTATTCACCGGACTAGGCCTCAATTTCAACTTCAACCAAGATCTTTACCAAACACCAAAAAATAAAAATAAAAATATATAATTTACCTAAAAATGGATTATTGTATTTGTTCTTCAGGTTTATGGTTTTAAGAGATTATGTAATTTCCAAAATTGATGAAACAAATGAGCCTAAAAACAAGTTTAAGACTATATGCTTATACTATTACTGTAGTACATAAACTATAAAAGCCCCTTTGTTTAGATGTAAAATATTTTTCAAAAAATATATTTTTTATTTTCTAATATTTGGTTGTCATAAAATATTTACGAAGAAAAAAAAATACTAAAAGTTAACAAAAATAACTTACCTATCAATTTTTGACAAGTTATTTTATTAGCCGGGCTAGGCTTCTACCTCAACTTTAACCTAAATCTTTATCAAACACCAAAAAATAAAAATATATAATTTACCTGAAAAAGGACAACGAAACAAATAAGCATAAAAACAAGTTTAAGGCTATATGCTTATACTATTAGTCTAGTACATTAAAAACAAGTTTAAGGCTATATGCTTATACTAATACATTAAAACAAGTGTAAGGAAATACATGTGATTCTTTCAAATTATTATATTCTTTTATCGGGATTAAAAGACAGGAAATGCATGTGTGAAACGCTGGGAATGACCAACAATAAACAACACATAGAGGATGGAAGTACTTAGAAAACATATAGCATCTCTAATCTTAATGATACAGTCTAATCAATAAAGTAGAAGGAAATGAAGCAAATTATCTTATGAAGTTTTATATTTACAGAAAAACTAGATACAGGGTCTCTAAATCAAATAGTATCTAATTGAGCTACCTTTCAAAAAATTTTAAAAGTGGTTGGATATCCAAACAAATAATAAAGGCTCAAACGCGCCACAATTTTAATTTAACTAATTACACCAGGTTTTTTTTTCTAAAATTGGTTTGAATTCTCATTGTGCAGCATTTGTTTTAAGTACAAGTCCACTAAACTTTAACATAACCCATGTAATTCTCACAATATTCCAGTCAAGTCAATTGTAATTAACCAAATTTAATCTCAATTATTTGTCGTATGCTATATGAATCCCATTTCACCATTGCTCTTTCTAAGGTTAATTAAAACTTCAATAAAACTACATGAACTCGTGTTAGTTTTGTCATTTTATAAACTTTTTATTTCTTAAATGACAAACATTCTCTCCCATAAAACATGACTAGTAATAACTATTGTGTCTAAGAGTGTTGGGATTTTGGCAGAATTTCATTGGTTGAATGATACAATTGTGGTCGTCAATTGTATGACCGTGTGGACGGCTTAATGCTCAAGCTAAGGGTTTGATAAGGCAATAAGCAAACTTTCAGGAAAGTAATTGATAAGGAATGAATTGTTTTGTATAAAGCGTGTTATGCAGCAAAAGATGTAGATCTTGAGAGATCCCACGGTAATCCCAGAGTGATCCAAGCATTACACAATCTCCAAATCATTTTTTGGAAAAAAAAGAGAATAAATCCTCCATTTTTATACCACATATCCTATTTTGACACCAAGAAATGAAGTACTTTCTACAAATAGAAAAGAATATTCAGAAATTCAATGTCATTTGTAATAAGAGTCTTTTATTACAAAATTTTTCTTTCATACCTACAATTCTGATCAAGGGAAATAGAGTCATAATAAGTTATATTAGTTTTTTGTGTGAAGAAAATCCTTTTTGTGTGCAATCTTCAAGAGAGATATTTGAAGTTTGTCTTTTGATGGATTTTCTAGTTTACATAAACCATATAATTATTGGGGATTTTTCTTGAGAGAGTTTGGTGAGCTTTTCTTCGTTTGGTGGGTGACGTTTTGTAAGAAGAGGGATTATTGTCTAGAAGAACCAAAACGTTCTTCAATTTGTAATTTTCTTCTATACAGTGATACAGATCATCATTGCCCATAGATGTAACCCTATTTGTGAGGGTGAACCACGTATAAATCTTGTCTTATGGTGTGTTTTTTTCATCTTTATTCATATCTTTCTGTTATTAGGATTTGCCATCATTGTGTGTATATTTGTTTGGGTCGCCTCCGCACAAGAAGATTGGTGTCAGAAAATTGGTATCAGAACTTCCCGTGCCCAACAGGGAGCACCGAATTGGCTCCTATTTGGTGCTCCCAAGCTTAGCTAAAATATTTCCTTTCAACTTTATAGACTGAGTTGATGACATAACACCATAAGCACACTTCAACTTAACCAACATCATCTTCCATCTTCCCACCTATTAAAGAATTGAGGAGAGGTAATAAAAATTCTTTTGCTATTTCTTGACCTTTGGTCTTTATTACATCTCCATATATATATATATATATATATATATATATATATATATATATATATTCAACTTTACTAAATTTATACATTCAATTTTAATCTTACATTTACATTCCATACTTATTTGAAATTTAGCATGGCTAATTCTTACTAAGCTTAAACTTTTAGAAGAAATCGGATACTTGATTTGACACAGAGAGAGACAGAAATACTAAGACATCAATATGGGTCAAACATCAAGAACGAAAGCTTTATTCAGGCTACAGATCTACATGTAGTTTCAGCTTTTTTCATGGATGCACACACTTACAACAACAGATGAAACAGAAACAAAACATACAGCATAATAGAATAAAATAAAATTTGATTAATGAACATAGAAAATAAACTTGAAATGTAGAGCAATGGATGTTCAATTGTAAAGGGTTACCTGTAATTAGCAAAATACCCCAAGAAATGGATTGATCACTCCACTTAAAATTTGAATTTGTTCTGGTCACTGATGAAGAAGGGGGGGAGAATAAAAAAGTGGAGCGAGAAAGAAGGGGAAGTGTTCAATGATAAAAGGGAAGAAAAGGAGAAGGGGAAGTGGGATCCAAGCGTCCTTGTAAGTGGGAATAACCGGAGTGGACTTTGACGAATCGGACAATTTGTGACACGTGGCATGATGTCTAAGTTTACGGATTTAATGATGCCACGTGGTTTGACACTATATTTTTGAGTTATTTTTTTATTTATTTTTTTTAATCACCCAATACACTGCTCTTCAACTTAACCAAAATCATTTTGGTTTTTCTTGACCTTCGTGTCTTTATTACATCTCTATATGTATTTTCAGATTAAATCATATGATTACTTATTTACGTTCCATACTAATTTTTAAAATTATGCATCATTATTCCTACTAGCATTAGAATAAATTGGATACTTGAACTAACAGAGAAACAGATATACCAACGCATCAACATGAAAGTTTCAACTTTTTTTATGGATGCATACAATTACAGGAAGAAATTAAACAGAAATCGAATGAGTAAAATAAAAATTGATGAATGAAATATTGAGCAATGGGTGTTCAATTATAAAAGGGTTACCTATAATTGATCACTCCTCGAAAAGGTTGAATTTGTTGCAGGGACCGATAAAAAGAGAGAGAAAATAAAAAAGGTGGAGCGAGAGAGAAGGGAAAAGGAAGGAAAGAAGCATCGGTGGGATCCACAAACTTTGATCAATCCGTTAATTCTAAATGGCGAAACTTGCAGGCAATTTCTTCCTCTCACATGCAGTAGAAAAAGTGACCATTTCGCAAAACTTCAAGGCTGTTTTCTCATTAACAACTTGACTTGATTGGAACAGTGTTGAACAACTTGACTTGACTGGAATAGTGTAAAGACTATCATCAACTTTTGATCCCTCTTTTTTTTTTTTTTTTCTCTTTTTTTCATTTTCAACAATTCTTTTCACATTTTCTTTTCCAACACTAATGATTAATGCCACTTTTGTACCCATGTTTTTTGTTCATATAGATCATTTATATATAATAGTGTACAATTGCTACAACACGTTTAACTATAGTTTTAGGATCTAATTTACAGTTAATAAAAAATTATTATTTTAAAAATTATTAATTTTTTAATTACATATGAGGGAAATTTTTTATAATAAAAAAATTAATATTCTTTAATTTGATGTAAAGTGTCAAGATCTTCATCTACTAACACCATCACCTCTACTATCATCATATAAGATTTGATTAATCTTTTTTTTTTTTAGTTGATGTTCACATACATGTCTTTACTGAAACTTAAACGTCTGACCTCGCTTTAAGAAGTAGGAATTTAATACAATTAGACACTAATTCATTGGTGATTAACATTTTTTCTTCTGTGTGCATGAATTAAAAAAACCCAAAGAAAATCATCAATGTAAACCTTGCATAGACACCTGCAGAATGTGAAAAGTTGATACTAAGAATATAAAAAGAAAGGGACCACCTACACCGTCACTGCCACAGCTGCCTCGATCCGGTACCACCATTACCATAACACCACCACCACCCAAGAGGTCACTGCCACCTATTTAAAAAGAAGAAGGTAGAGTTAGAAATATAAATTTAAGGTATAAATAGTAGTGAATCATTCTTTCTTTATTAAAAGATTTTCTTTTGTTAATAAATTAGAAGATTTTCTTTATGTTAATAAATTAAAAGATATTTATGCTTCAATTAATGAGATATTATCTATCTAAATCTATATCTATTTTCATTTATTTTAATTTAATAATGTATTTTTAATTTTCTAAAATATATATATTTTTTCAATAAACATATAGAAATACAATTTTTTTTTTTTTCACATCCCTAACCAAATCAAGACTTGATAGGAAATGTGAACCGAGTTAACGAGGTTGATTACGTCAAGTGTTCTATGGATAGCTATTAAATGCTATATTTTTAGGGCTTCTCTTTGAAAATTCATGATCATCCATATATGGGTGTAATATATGTTTATAAATGAAAAAGATATTAAAGATTTTTAGCAAAGTGAATCTATGGTAATTCGTTTTTTAGGTTATTCAAGAATTAAATATATTTTTAGGTAGGCGTGTGTTGTAGAACTATTGTAGAAGTGTCACTTTTATCTCTATATGTAAGTATAATTATCCCAAATATATTGCAACTATTACACTCTTTATTATTATCATTATAATTTTTTTTTTTTTTTTTTTTTTTTTTTTTTTTTTTTTTTTTAACATAGGGTATTTCCATTTTTTCTTGCTCAAGGTTGTCCTTATTTTGAGCGATATTGAATCATTAGGGTATTTTTCAACTTCGAGTAATTTCTTCTCAATTTTATATAGCAAAGTGTTGTATTTAAAAAAATTAATTTACTTTTTACATTATACAGTATAAAGAAACAGTCATTGGGGATTATACCTTTTCACGAAATCTAGAAGCACTATGTTAAGGGTCAGTTTACCGATCACTTATGTTTTATTATTATTATTATTTTTATTTTTATTTATTTTTTGGCTGCGGGTAGTGCATTGTGACGAAGAAAAAAAAAAGGGAAAAACTCTAAATTGCCTTTTTATTTTTTTCTAGCCATTTGGTTTTTTAATTTTGTACCACTTTTTAGTTAAATATGTTTTCATGCTTTTGCTACCGAATTTCATACAACTTATTTTATGTTAATGTTCTGATTATTATTGAATACACTCAACAACCGGTGAAACTTAGAGGTTTCCAATGCACCTATCTGGAAACTTTATTGGTTTATATGAGTAGTCTTGCACCTATCTGGAAGCTACATGAGTGAATAAAATTTTTGGTTAGAACATATAGATTTATTCTCTTGAACGAGGCTCACTCGGTGGATAGAACATCGCCGGCCTTCCGGTCAGTTAGGAGATCTTGAGACAACATGCGGGCATGTGGCTCTTTAGAACCTAACTCTGATATCAATTGTTGAATTATGGGTATCCAACCTAAAAGATTAACTTATTAAATTGAGTGACTCTTACCCCTTATAAATTCCAAATTTTCTTTTTTTCTAACCGAAGTAGACTAATTCAACTACCACTCAACATACGTACCTGTAATAAGATGGCTGAAACACAATTTTGATGTTACATTTAAAACTATTTTATGTTATCTAAATCATCTTTTCTTTCTAAAAAGTTTATTTTTCTTCTTCCTAGCAGGCTAGCTCCTCTTTTGAAGTATGTGTTTTACTTTTAACAATCAACAAATCAAATTAAAATCATAAGTTACTTTTAAATTATATCTTTGTAACGGAAGAAAGCACAAACTGCCATTTTAAGATTAATTTAAAATAATAAAAAAAAAAAGAACACAAAAAAGAACAAATTAAAGCAAACATGTATACAAAACATCCCAAATAGAATAAGATTCCATTTATACATAAATACAGAAAAGCACAACTACGTACAGTGAATAAATTTAAAACACCAAGTACTATTTTCTGATTATATTTATTCTTTTTTTTTTTTCTCTTTTTTTTTTTTTTCACATCCCTAACCAAATCAAGACTTGATAGGAAATGTGAACCGTGTTAATGAGGTTGATCACCTCAAGTGTTCTATGGATAGCTATTAAATACTATATTTTTTTTTTCTATGATAAATCACATAGCTCAGTGGCTTCTCTTTGAAATATCATGATCATCCATATATGGGTGTAATATATGTTTATAAACGAAAAAGATATTAAAGATTTTTAGCAAAGTGAACCTATCGTAATTCGTTTTTTTAGGTCATTCAAAAATTAAATATATTTTTAGGTACGCGTGTATTATATAGAACCATGGTAAAAGTGTCACTTTTATCTCTATATTTATTTCAAATTCTTACAAGAAATTAAGATTATATATTCTCTTTATTTAAATAAAATTCTTAGATGACCCATATTTAGACACCACGTTATGATTTGTTACTTATATTTTAATTAATAATAATAAAACAACACAATCCAGCTTATGAAAATAATATTTGTATATGCTGACCCTAATTTTTTATACTAGGATTTCTTCATTTAATACACATGTTTGTAATTGTATGTCATTTGAATTATTTTTTTAGTGGCGATCATGATCTGATGAAGTTTAGTTACCTTGGTGGAGTTGGAAGAGATGAGGTTGAAATTAAATATTGGAATTTATAAAATTAAATATACAGATCGCGATTGTGTTTTAATAACCTGCGACAAGCACTTGCAAGATTGTATGAGTCCATCTAATTCATTGGGCATGAATACAATCAAAATTTTCATTTAGCCCAATTGCTAATTATGCGTGTGTTGATATCAATTTATGATCTAGTTGTTTGGGCTTGACTTCTCATTGGAATTGAACCTCAAATGATTCATTTATTTCTTGTATCTGGAGTGGCATGTCAATTAAGTATATAGAAATGAAATGTATCTCCAAATGAAATGGAGATACAAAATAGAAACATAATTTTTTTTTATGTAATAAACTTGGAATATTGAGCAAAGGGTGTTCAATTGTAAAAGGGTTACCTGTAATAAGCAGAATCCCCCAAGGGCAAAGGGTGTTCAATTGAATTTGTTATGCTCTATGATGAAGAGAGAGAGGAGAGAAGCAAAAAGTAGTGAGAGACACGATGATAAAGGGAAAGGAGTAGCGAGAAAGAGAGAAGGGAAAGTGGTCAAATGATAAAAGGAGTGGAAAGAACCATTGGTGGGATCCACAGAGGAAGATTCCCGGCAAGTAAGTGTGAAACCAAACATTCATAATATGATATTATTCCTGTGGGACACTTCTTGACCGAAAAATAAGTTGGCCTTATCGCATGATGAGCTGCGGTTGAAAATTGTATAATCTAAATTTTGTATTAAATTTTTCGTTATTTATGACACATCAAATGTTGTATGGATAAACTATTTAATTTTACCAATTTATTTATTTTTTAATCTAGACTAGTGAGAGTTATTTGCTTATTCATGGTAAATCACAAATTCATTTATTGGCTTCTTATTTCTTTTCTTTTTATTTTGTTTAAATTAAAGTGTCAGTTTTATGTTGAATTTTTTTTTTCATGATTT